TTATATATTGTCTGAAATTACTTTTCTGTGGCAGTATTTAGTATTTTAGAGTTTGAGTATTTTTTGCCATTAACAATTAAGAAATAATCCCATGAAGTAGAAGGATTATTGATGAAGGGGTTGTTTTAATAAACTTACTTTTGCTTAAAATGATTATATTTTATACTAAGATTGTAGATAATATACTTAAAAAAAAACACTATTGTACATTACTTTGATGACGTTTCAAAATTTAAAGTAATGTGACATACTGTCTCTTTATGGTATATTATTTACAGTCTCAGTATGAGATATAATCATTTTAGGCAAAATTAAGTTTATTATTTAATATTATCAATATATTTTAAAAGTCCCGCTAAATGACTTCTATTTGATACACTTGGCACATTGGCGCTGATGCTTATTACAGTCCTTCCCCCTCCACTCGAGTTAGCTATCTATAGTTATCTATTGTCTTTGTAGGTATCTATATAGAAAGAGAATACTTGTCTAGTCTCCATGATTGCACTATTCACCCTAGTTCTAATATAGTATTTGTACATTTAATTAGTCTTTTATTTAATCAACTGTACAAGTACATTGTGAAACTGATAAGTTGTACATATGTACTTTCTTAACCTACCTACCAATTAAAATATGGATTTCATAATCGATACTGTAGGTGAAAGTGATGAAATTCTTGAAAATAAGAATGAAGGTACGTTCTTAATTAGTTAATGTTTCCTCCTCAAAATCAGTTATTTTAGCTCATGAATCGTTTATAAATGAATTATTAAAAGACTATAAAGACACCTTAGTTGAGAGAAAGCCAAAAGAAAAAAATAAGAAGGAAAATCTTCTTTTAAAGGAGATCCTCGATGATTTAGGACGGAGTAATAAAAAGTATCCAAAGGTGCCTCGTAAACATTACGAAGAGGAATTAGGTAGGAAAAGTGATATTGATGAAGTTTTAAGCAAATCAATATTGCTAAATCCAGAATTTGAAAAATTGCATGCTGTTCCTCCATTCGAAGTGTCAGAAAAAAAAATTAAGGAACAAAGGAAGGTAGGCGTAAACAAAGCTAAAAGAGGGCATGGCAGCTTCTTTTAGGTAACTTTTCTATTTTAGTAAATCTGATTGGTAAGAGTTTAAAGACTTTTTATTTAACCCATTACAAAGAATTCTTCCAAAAGAGGCTGTCATATAAGCTGCTTCCCTTTTGCAAGAAAAATCACATTAATATCACATGTGACGTCATGACTCAGTTAATTGTGCGTTTAGGCAACTTTTCTATTTTAGTAAATCTGATTGGTAAGAGTTTAAATACTTTTTATTTAACCCATTACAAAGAATTCTTCCAAAAGAGGCTGTCATATAAGCTGCTTCCCTTTTGCAAGAAAAATCACATTAATATCACATGTGACGTCATGACTCAGTTAATTGTGCGTTTCTTTTAATTTTCCGAAGTGAGTTTGAACTGAGAATTTTTACCCCCACTTACTGCTATCTGCATTAGTTTGAGAGCTTGTTCACTTAGCTCATTTTGTGCTCAGTTATTTAAAGTGTGGTTAGGCACGGTTAGGTTTGTTTTTAAAAGCTAAAAGTTGCAAATAATAGGTAAGTATTATGATTTATGACGTCTTTTCAATAATAATATTTCGCATTTAAGTTTATATATGGTTAATTTACATTTAACTCATATGATCGTTTTTACGACCTTTTACAAGATGAATCACAACTGAAACAACTGATATGAGTACACTCACCTCACGTGTAATATGTACTCAGTTGCCTGCAAAAGGGAAGCAGCTTTAATCTCTAGTGATTGGCAAACCTGCCTATTTTTTAGTGATGGGAATAATCGAATGAATTAAATAATCGAGAGGTTACCGTTCGAATTAATTTTATAATCGAATGATCATTCGAATGATATATAATCGAAAGTTCCAAATCATGTGCGAAACATGTTAACGCTAGGTAAATGAATGACTGTCACGGATTGGGGCATTTCTTCCATATTTTTTCGTTGCCAGTTGAGTGATTCAGCAGCATGTGTTTAAAATGAGTAGTCACCGCCTAAAGAGGTCCATTGTTTAGGATTTTTTTGAAAAAACAATTATATAGAAAACATAATTTGGTATTATTTTCATGCATATGAATTTTTATCCCCGCTAAATAAAGCTCCCTTCTAACCCGCGTGATGCCACACATAAAATTCCTGCATACCTTTTTTCTTATATTTCTGTGATATTCGATTCTCATCTATCCTCTCGGCCGACTTTCTTATCTCGAGATGTTGTAGCTTGTTAGAGCGTTTTAACAATCGAAACATCTGCGCATTCGCTCAAGTAGCGCAGGTGTTAGTAACGCTGTGGCCACTGTCATTCGTCTCCGAATAATCAAATGATTCTATATGATCACTCGAGATATCTCGAGAGATTTTAATAATCGATAATTTTCATTCGAGTAGTCCCATCGCTACTATTTTTTGAAAGTACTTTTCAACTTTTCACTCCTTACTTTTCCTGTTTTGGTCTATTTTCTGTTTTATATTTATGGTTTCAAAAGTTAGAGCAAAAAGTTGAAAAGTGCAGAGTGCACAAAGTTTTCCTGTTTTATTAAGTATGCACTTTCCCCTTTTTAGTTTTCAATTAGATACCAAAAAGTAAAGAGTACCTAATTTTGTTTCTTAACGAATCTACAATACTTTTAAAAATGGAAAAGTAAATGTGACAATTTAAAAGTAAAAGTAATTTTCTAATCAGCTTTGGAATGATTTGAAGTAACTGATATACATATTTTAAGCGACCTTTACACATACATTCTTTCCCGCACGATTACGTCCTGTACTTTTTCTTTCAATACTTGTCAATTTTGAGGTATTCGATAATATATTTTGTGTCCCACAAAATTATGTTGAGATCGGGGCTGTTTTCTGGCCACCTAAGGTTTCTAATAACATTGTTTAGTGTTCGTTGACGAGATTCCTCCAAAATAAATTTGTGGATATTCCTGAAGAACTTTTGCACATTATTTTATTTGAATAATACAGTTTAATTATATTTTATTTTTCATCACCAGAATAACCCATTTTAATTTTTTTAAATTCAAATGGATTATTCTGATAATGATAAATCCCATGTAATTTTAAAGGATGGTTCGTTTCTGTCATTTTTGTCTGATTGTGTGCGAGAGACACGAAATTTTAGTGTGCGATATAGATAGATTTGACTTTGTTCTCATAAAGGGCTTCTCTCTCCCTCCCTCCCTCTCTCCCCTGGGGCTTTCCCAGCATCTTCAGGAGTGGGGCGTAGGGTAGAGCGCATGGCTTTTTTAGTCTCCTACATCGAGATATGATGTCATAATGTATGAGAAAAAAAAAAACAGTTTTTGCTCGTAACTCAGAAATGTTTGGAAATATAAACAAATCTCCCATTAGTTCTGAGTAGAGCACTTGGTGGGTGAGGCAGGGTGGGGTGTCACAATATGTGAAAGAAAAAAAAAATAGTTTTTGCTTGTACCGAGGAAATGACTCGAAATATCAAAAAATCTCCCATGATTGGTGATCGAGTGAAAACGGTCCGAAGTCCGCATGTAAAAAAAAATTCGGGACCAACGGTGTGTGACATCATAGAATAAAAAAGTGGCTATAACTCAGAAACAGTGCGTTGAATCGAAAAAATAATTGA